CTCCGTTCCGAGCCAGTAGTTGTCAGAGATGCACACGGCATCGGCATCTTTGAAGAACTTCTTGGCCTCGGCGTTGATGAAGTCGTCCAGACCTTCGGAGCCGTACTCTTCCATACCCTCGAAACAGCACAGCAGATTGACGGGGAAGTCGACGCCGGCCTTCTGGTGGGCTTCGATAGCGTTCAACCAGCCCAACACCGGTCCCTTATCGTCAGTGCTGCCCCGCCCGTACATGCGTCCCTTGTCGTCGATGGTCAACTCGAAGGGCTTTGTAGCCCATCCGTCTTCGATAAGGGCGGGTTGTACATCATAGTGTCCGTAGACCAAGATGGTCCGCTTGTTCTTGTCATTCCCATAGCGGGCAATGATGACTGGAGGAAGGTCGAGATGTTCCTTGCCGGGTTGTTTTCCGAGCGGGCGTTGTTGAACCTCTGCACCTAGGGACTCCAGTTCGGAGGCCAGGAATTGACCCATCTATTGCTCTTTCAGCCACATTCTAGCAGTGCTGCTTCTTGTGATCACCTACTCGGACGACATCCTTTCTTCTCTCTTCGTCTGCCGACACGGAAGGGATTGCCACGGCTTTTCGCAGTCCTGTTGAAAGTGATGGTCAGTGCCCCGCGGTCGTCACTGAGGTTACAAAGGGTCCCTACGGTCGATGAAGGAATCGGCGAGCTCATCCACCCTGGAACTTGTTAGCACGTTGTCAAATGTCTACGTCTTGTGCCCTACTTCTTGAAATAAGGCTCTAGCTGTGGTGCCATCTTGTCGTCAGAGATGTGGCCGTAGTAATCTCGAGTGTGGGATGGAAGTCTCAATGCACGTTTGAGCGGGTAGCGAGGTCGAGCGGTGGTGCCCAGCAAAGATGCAGTCTTGAAAAATCTCTGGAGATGTGTCGAAGAGGGACGACCTGCGCAAATCGTGGGGAGCATGTGTTGACAGGCTGAAGGTCTTTTTGCCTGCGCGGGATACAGTCACGTAGTTTAGAGTGTGATTGATAGGTTTTGGAGATCTCCGCATGGCAAAACTGGCTGAAAACTGTACAAGACTGGGACCCCTTAACAGTCGTACTATTAATTGACAGGTAGAGAAAGCAAAAACCTCTGCATGCAGGTCCTGCTATTCCTTCATATCTATACATTGCTTTAGGCATCTCTATACCAGCGTTCCTTTCTGATCTGTCGATCCTCGCGTGCCTCTCTTCTTTTCTTGCCCCAGTTCGACTTGACAATATCCGTCACCATTTTCTGCTCTTTGCCCTTTTCTGGAGCTAACCCTTCGACGACCAGGTGTGTGAAGACCGGTGAACAATCAAACTTTTTAGATAGCCGACTGACGCTCCATTGCGTGGGATCTGTCCGCCTCAATTCCCTCATCTCTTCCAAGTCCTTCTCCGCTAGGTGGTATCGTTTCTCCGTTTGCCCCGGGATGGCTGGCAACTGCTGAGCCGATTGTAAATGTATTTGCTGGATTTCAGGATCTGGAAGTACTTTTCTGCGGTCATTCTTGGGCAGGAAGATGTTGGGCGTGTGGTAGACATTTGGCATGCTTGGAGGAGGGTTGTAGATGATGTGGTCGTGCAGCTCTGTCTTGGAGGGTAGGAAGTCCGGATCTGGCTTGATATTGAGCCTGGACCTTGTTCGTCGGTAGGAAGATTGATGTCGGCGGAAAGAGGGTCGGAGGATCTGGGCGCAGAGCTTGTAGAATCGCGAAGATGCGTTCGATGGCATTGGAGAAAGGGTCATGGACTGCATATTGACCATGGGAGTTGCTCTGTGCATTTGCGAACGCCTGAACAGTTAAGACACTCGCAGCCGTCTAGCTGATGTCCCCAAAGCCTGGTCTCGATGGTTCTGGTGAGAATTTTGGTTGACAAGTCGGGACTACCGTCGCTCAAGCACACCCTAAACAGCGCAATTGTTCTTCGGGCACTGTAGGGATATTGCGCTGCACGTCCCCAGACCTCGAAAGCCTCCTGGCTAGTCGAGATGACGGCACAATTGATTGTGCTGTGCGTCGGGACGAAACAAGGCGTCAAAGATCAGCAGCTCGCGCGCAGTCAAAAGTCGAGCCAGTGCAGCCACCAATGGAGGCTTGGCAGACTCGTATTAGCTCATCGGGTTGTTCCACTTGTCACAAGACACTGGCACTACTGGGCAGTGCTGGTGATGCGAGTCTTGCGTCCCCTGGCTGGTGCCGGTGTCCCTGAAACTACAGCTGCTGCCAAAAGCGGGAGCCTAAATGTCTGAGGGGGCCTGTCTGGTGGGGACTTTGGTGGCTCCCACAGGGATTTATTGGGCTTTTCTGGGTTGCTCTAGGCGAAGCACGCCGGTGATGTTCGAGGCTTGCGAGCCCAATTGGACACAAATCATCATGAGCTTTCCAGATGTGCCAGTGATGTGCCCTCCCCATCCTCCGAGACATGGACCAATTGTGCTAACCTTTTTATCCAAGGAACACTTGCATCCCTACCCCGGGAGTAGTGCATACCAACTACGTATTACTTGCCGTCTCCTCCCAGGTTTCCTATTCTCAATAACAAAGCAAATCGACTGCCATCCTCACCCTCATCTCCTCTCCCACCCGCACCACCACCACACATACTTTCGTTGCACAGGGCACCCTTTGTAATACTCCGAAACTCTTCCTGCCTGTTGTCCGGAAAACCACCTTCAGTACATCAGGTCGATCTGCATCTCACTCTGTATATCCCCTCTCTCCAGCGCCGGTTACACTCCCATCCTTCACTCATAAGTCTCCGTGCCGCAACTGCGAGACCTGGCGCAAGTGGTTTACCACTCCCCGGAATCAGCTCACATTTGAATACTATTTTTAAGAGTTACTCTTTGGTTCCTTGTTTACAATATGTTGTGCCTCCGGCGCTCTGTCTAAACGCATGTCACATCTGTTGACGGCCTATTCTCTCTATTTTGACCTGGCAGCCTGGGACAGTCCCCAATTTGGACCACTAAATATTCGCATCACTTAACCACAACATAACGATCGGTCATCATGTCGTCCAAAGAACCATCCGTCAACGACAAAGTCAGTGCCAGTACCGAGTCAAGGGATTCGGCCGCTCCTTTGTTGAGAGATTCCTCTGCTCTACCCTCCGGAGCGCAGAATCCTGCGCCGACAGTCGAGGAAACTGTGACTAAACCGCGGAAGAGGGATTTCTGGAAGTTGGGAAAGAAGCCGGATGAAGACAAACATCATGGAAAGGGGAAAGCTGCCGTTATTACAAAACCCTCTTCCTCCACTGCCAGCGCCTCCGCTGGATTGAATCCGACGTCGCCCATTAGGTCTGTGGACTCGACCAGTGGTTCGGTATCGCCGCACAGAGGCTCTGTGGCTCATCCATATGGTATCCCGGGCTCGCCGGGGTACGGAGTGAGCAACTCGTCTCCGAGGCCGCACTCTCCCGCGTCTTCCATGATCTTTGAGCGAAATGTCCAGGAGGAAATCGCTCTTCCTGAGACGTCCCCACACTTGCCTTCCCATGTGCTCATGGAAAATCACATTGCGCCCGCTCTGGACGCATCTGCAGAGGCTATCACCAACGAGAAGCTGGACCCCGACACGGTGGAGATCGTTACGCATGTAACACATCAACCTGCTGCCGTGACGATCTCCGGTCTTGGAGCCGATCATTCTCTTGCTTCTTCGGTTCAGGACGAGTTTCCTCCGTCTGCGGCGCATCGTCAAGACACGGATACTGGGTCGAATTATGGCTCCTTGGATTCCACCGACGTGCGGCGCCTGAGTTTCATCTCCTTCGCTGATGTCGTTCACGGCGAGCAGGAGCTGGGAGATCCGCGCCGAGACTCGACTCATCTATCGGGACACCCGTCCCTCGCTCCGGCTCGGTCCCCATCCCCTATTCGATCGCCCACGTCCTCGGCGGCATTTGGAACATCTCCACCCACAAGTGTGACCGCCTCCGTAAAGGGCCTTGAGACCTCTCCCAACCGAGCCCCGAGGGGTGCTGGGAGCCCGCTCCCAGGACAGAGCTCACCACTGGCCGCTGGAAACGAAATCAACGTTGAAACAATGCGACAAGCCCTCCGGAGAACCGGCAGCGGAGACATGAGTCATTTCCGCAGTCCACCCGCCAGCGCAGTTGGCAACGATGATGGAACATATGAGCGACCCTTCAGATGAGTATATGCGACAATGAGATGACGAGCAAGCAAGCATGAGGTGACATGATCTACGCGGGCGCATATCATGGAGGAAGTTATACATGTCGAGAAGGAGTATGCGGATATCTGCGACAGTTAATATGTCTTTTTCTTGCACGCTGACCTTCTCCAGGGAGGCGTCCTTCATCTCTTTAGGACACTAGATACCACATTTTGCTGAATGATATGAATTCCTGCCGCTTACAAGAAGGACAAAATTCTCAAGTGTTGGTCCACGCTTCGTTTCCGGATCTCTGTATTCATTATGCTGTTGTTTGGTGCGCACTGACAGGCCAGAAGATAGCAGTGCCGTTCTGGCCCTATAACATTGAGAGTCGATGGTTCTGATCCATGATCTAAGCACGGCAGTGTCGTGCGCTAAACTGTCACTGAGAATTCAGAAGCATGATACGCTGTTTCAACAGAAAATTTCACTGGGATTGGGTCTAGTATCTGTGCTAACCTCTCGGACCATCGGTTCTTGTCGATTTGTTGGCCTCTGGAACCCCTGGCGCCACAGTTCACAACTCCGAAACGACAGACAACACGAGATTTCCTGCATACTGACAGCGGCCTCAAGCAGCATGACACCTCAAAGATTGGTGCGGACCCGAGTCATATATCACCACGTCCGCCGGTATTGAGGGATGATCTAAGATCGGGGAGAACCGCATCAGCAGCCCTCAATATCCCCTCCAACCTGGATGCCACATCATCCAGGACTTCCTCTGGAGCTGTGAGAAGAGCTTCGGTGATCCTGCAACGTACAGTTAGCGGGATCTGGCAGAAAGGCGCTGGTCAAATACAAGCATTCGCCTCCTAGTCCCACAAGGTTCCAATCTGGGCAAGATCCCGATCTTGGTCGAAATCCTCGGTGCCCGCTGCTGAGCCGGTATTCTGGGGAAGCATATGTTGATGATCCACCTCTTCTTCGGCCATCAGGGAAGTATCTTCTGTCACGTAATCGACAGTATCATTATCGAACAGAGGGTCTTTGGGGGAATCATGTGTGACGCATCCAGTGTGGACCGTTGTGCTTGCCCTTGACGATGGAACAGCCCTTTCGGCAGGTTCTGTGAAGGCGGTGTGTGATAGCTTTGGCCTCTTTACACCTGTTGGACCTTCATCTGGGCATGAGGAGCTTGGTCGACGTTTCTGGCCCTTCCCAGACGGCTTGTGGAGTGGCAACTCTGGTTCGATGGTGTGGAAGACGCTAACATCTGTTGAGAAGGATGGACTCGGATCCATATTTGCGAGCGATTGTTGGAGTGGTTTCAGAAGATACGTGTACACAAGACAGAGCGAAGATGGGACACCTCTAGGAGAGAAAATTACCCTGCCTTTTTACGAGGGGAAGGGTGCTTTCGGACTACTTATATACTTCTGCGTCTGAGGTCGAGCCCTCACTTGGCACAGGTCTCGAATTGCCATTTTCGAACTCGAGTCAAGCTTGGAGGGACAACTTTTGGTTAAGCATCACTCGTTCCAGGTCTTACCTTGAGTGCTGCCCAAGCCACAGATTCGACCACCTGGACACTTTCTGTCCCTCACAACGACTTTTGGCCTGCAGATCATTTAGTGGCGCTACAAGCCAAAAGGAAGGAGGGTGGACCGAGGCGTCTGCCTAACCTAGGTAGGTAGCTATGTGTGCATGGGTCCCCAGTCGTAATTTTTCGCCCGGTCGTATTTTTTCACGACGTGATGAACAAGTAGAAGAAAAATACAATGGAGCTTAGGGATCAGGCTGGTGGGAAATAAGGGAGGGTTGATCAACTGGGCGTTTCACTGGATATAACTACTAATCAGGACTAGCGCGGATAGACTAGACGGGAACCCTCTCCCGGAGGGAGTGACATCTAACGAGTCAGAATCTGAGTGGAAGCCTTGCCCGACCGCCAAAGCTTAAGCGAACCACTGGGAACTGTCTATCATTAAGGTGTGTCCCCCGAAGCCACGTCCGATAACCCTGCCACGCACGTATTCTCGCCAGGACCAATCGGGAAACCAGAAGGGTTTTCAAAAGCCGGGCTCGACCCGACCAAAGCAGATACCGACCAGAAGGGAGAATTTCCAGGTCGCCCCAGAGTGACGGAGCCTCAATCACCACGACTCATCCTAACCTCCTAAAAGGGAGGACGAGAAAAAGGAGAGAATGGCAGTCCAATCGACTCTCTCCACGATTCCTTCACCCCGGACCGCCATGGCCGAAACACTCTTGAACCCCCTTCTCACGGGGCCACTACTCTTCTACCTCCAGCGCAACCCGACGGTCCTCGAGAATCTGCCCTGGCCGCCACCGACCATGTCCGTGACACTTCTCCCCTTTCAACTCCCTTGGGGGATTCCCAACAGTGTCCAACTTCGGGCGACGCCGCCGCTCCGGTCGCTGAAATTCCTCTTCGTGCTCGGGCTGGTTGTGCACGCGAACCGATTCCTCAGCCGCTTGGCCCTGAATTACTGGCACATACGCAAGCAGGGTGAGGCGTGGGATTTTCAGGCGCCGGGCAAGGAGACCATCCTGATCACGGGCGGGTGTTCCGGATTCGGGAGGGAGATGGTCAAGATGTTCGCCGCGCAGACGCAGGCCAACATTGTCGTGCTGGATGTGCAGGATTTGCCGGACGAGTTGAAGGATAGTAAGTATTTACCAACCCACCAACCAACCCACCCTTCCCAAGGTATTATAGCTCTGGACCAGGCAGAGCAGAGCTATAACGACCGCACCTTTCCAACTACGTCAACAAATACCCCCCCCCTCTCCACCTCCTACTGACCCTCGACAACCCCTTTCGTGATATAGTCTCCCGCCTATCCTACTTCCAGGCCGACCTGACCTCTCCGTCCTCCATCACCGATGCTGTGGAACTCATTTGCTCCCGGGGAACCACGCCGACGGTGCTCATCAACAACGCGGGCATCGCCCGCGCCCACACGATCCTCGACACGGACGAGGCCTGGCTCGAGAAGATCTTCCGCGTGAATTTGCTGAGTCACTTTACGCTGATCCGCCTGCTGTTGCCGAAGATGATGGCCCAGCGCAAGGGGCATGTTGTGTCGATTGCCAGTGTGAGTTTTGTCTACTCTGCTTTCCCCCTTTCCCCCCCTTTTACTCCCCTTCACACCACCCCATCACATCCTCTTATCAGCATGTATATACCAAATACCAAAATACCAAATATCCCGCCCTCTCAAACCTCACCCCTCAAACTCCCAACCCCTTTTCTGCCCCTCCTCCTAAACCCCCTATCTCTTCAAAGAAAAAAAGGAAAAGAACTGGTCTCTTAACATACATGAACATAAAATACAGATGGCAAGCTACACCGGCTGCGCTAGCCTGGGCGACTACAGCGCGACAAAGGCCGGCGTCCTGGCCCTGCACGAGACGCTCCTCGCCGAGCTGCACACGCGCCACGCCTCCCAGGGCGGCCACTGCGTCCAGGCCTCGATCGTCCACCCGATGTGGGCTCGCACCCCGCTCGTGGGAACCTGGGCGACACAGCTGTCCCGTTCGCGCCAACAGGTCCTCGAGCCCGTCGACGTCGCTGCCCCGGTGGTCCGGCACGTCCTGCGCGGCCGGAGCGGGAGTGTCTTTGTGCCGGAGAAGTTCTGGGTCGGGACGCTGTTGAGGGCCCTGCCGGACTGGGTTGGCATCAAGTCCCGCATCGACACGGCGAGGGCGACTGCGACAGGTTCATAGGGGGGGGGGGGGGGGGGGTTGGCCGTCGATATCACGACCATCATCTACCTCTATCACCATACTCACCATCTCCTTCACCTTCACAATCAAAATCAGAATGACAATCACGACCATAGTCACAACCACAGGCGTCCTCTCTTAGCAGTTTTGGGGGCCACTCGGCAGAGCTGGGGGAAAGTGAGGACACGTGATCTCAAAGTACATCCGCATTCACTACCTGAAGTGAACAGAATGGCATGAAATAATAGCACGAACAGCCAAAGTCGGCAGGTGGAACAGATGTTCAAGATACTGCGGGGATATATATATATATACTAGTTACAGGAACTTGCAAGAGTCAATTCTCCTCTCATTCCTTATTTCAATCGTTGCTCGTCGTCACGTAAATAAAAAAGGAACCCAGGCCTTCGACTTTTATTTCGACACTTTTGTGGCTTCCTCTCCGTCCAATCCACTCAAACATGATCCAACATGTCTCTCTTGTCTCCTTCGGTATCACATAGATAGATAGGTAGATAGCCGCTGGCTATATATTAATGAAACATGCCCAAACATCTCGTCCTTTTCGAGAAGTGAACGTAAAAAAAAAGCACGTGCAAGTCAAAATCAACAAGGTCAATGGAACTGCGTCTCGGTCACGCCCTTGCCCATGGCACTGGTACTGCTGACTCCGCCAGTAACCATCTTGAGCATGTTGTCAACATAGTTGGCGCCGCTCCATTTCTGGTGGGTGACAACGTCGACCTTGTTCTCCATTTCAGGCTCCTGGATGAGTTCGCCGTACGCACGCATGCCGCGCTTAGCAAAGGCTTTGGCAAAGGTGTCGGAAATGAGAGCGGTCGAGTGCAGGCCAGCCAAGGTAATAAATTGCCAGCAGTATCCAAGTTCGGCGAGGCGCTGAATGTACGTCTCTTGGTCTGACGAGGACATGGCGCGTTTCCAGTTGAAGGACGGAGACAGGTTGTATGCGAGTCTAGCAAGATGTTAGCTAAATGTTCATCTCGAGAGTTTCAGGGTGACTTACTTCTGCTCTGGCCACACAGCGTGCACGCCCTCGGCAAACTCCTTGGCCTGAGCATAATCTGGCAACTTACTCTCCATCCAGATCATGTCCGCATATGGCGCATAGGCGATCGCCCTGTTCACCGCACATTCACAGCCACCTTGGTACCTGTAGAAACCTTCGCGGGTTCGCGGGGCATCCCAGTCCCAATAGATATCAACACCCGTCAAGCCCTTGGCAATGGCACGGCATTCGCTGTTGGATTTACCCTTGGAGGCGGTCTTGTATTTCTGGATGAGCGCTGCTTTATCCACGTGGACACCGGCATTGATGGCGTCGATCACGGCGTCGTCGAACAACTTGATGCCAGCTTGGGCGATCCAGTTGTCTTCGATGGCTTGGAGTTCGTCTCCGTTCTTGCCGGCTTGTTCGGCCGCAACCATGAGATCGTTGAGCGGCTGCAGATTGGCGTTGGTGGATCCAAGAATGAAAGGGTGGTCACGGTAGTCGATGGTCGTGGTAATCAGGGTTGCTGCCTCTGAGTCGGTGCGAGCCACGGCAAGCAAGTCAACACCCATGATGTCGGCCTGGGCGCGGATTGCCACCAAACGGTTGATGTGTTCGGAAATGGGGACGAGCACTTTGCCAGCCATGTGGCCGCACTTTTTGGTTCCTGGAGCTTGATCCTCAATGTGGATGCCCGCAGCGCCTTTTTCGATAAACAGCTTTGTGAGCTTCATGACAGCCGTCAGACCTCCGTGGCCAGTGTCTGCGTCGGCAATGATGGGTCGGAGATAATCGTAGTTGGCCACCTGGCCTCGCTTGTCTTTGGGAGTGGTAAGGCGCTCCTCTCTCTGCTTGCGGTCGTGGAACAGCTGAGCCATGAACAGGTGCTGAACCTTGTTAGGCACAGTGTTCATCGGGTAGTCAGCCAAATCGGGAGAAGGCTCGTCGGTGGACGAGGCGGTCGAGGACGACTGCCAGCCAGACACATAGACGGTATCCAGGTATTTGTTCATCTGTGTCAGCATCGTGGGCTCGAGGCAGCCATAGGTAGCGGATGCGGTCTTGGTCTGTACCAGTCATATTAGTCGTGGCTCCTGTTTACATGGATATCTCAATTGTATTGCCTACCGCAAAACGATGCTCAACAATCTTCCACAGCTTTTTTGACAGGTCATTGCTAGGATACTGGATCTTGAGTGTGCCTCGCTTCTGCACAATCTGCTCGGCTGTGTATGGCCGTCGTGTGTAGCGCCAGCGGGAGTCAGTCCACCACTTCTTGACGGCCTCTACATCTTGCAGGTAAAGCTGCTCTTCTTGGTCGAGGGAAGACATGGTGAAGGTATCAATGACCTTTTTAAGGGCAGACGTCATATAAGAGAGTTCTCACAAGCTTCGGTAGCAGTAGTTGTCGGGATTAATGATGCTCCCACGACAATGCAGATCTCCAAAAACCTATACGGAGTGGAGAGGACAGGTGTAATACAGAGGAACCCAAGGTCTGAAGGTCGAAGATTGAGAGGCAAAGGAGGGCGACGCAGGAGG